ACTGCATTCACAGTTTTGGGTTGCTGTCGTGTCATGTAGAGCTGTCGTGTCACGTAGGGCTTTCACGCCCAAAGGACAATGTGTTGTCTAAGCTGTCGGAAGGATCTGGCAACGGTTTGTAGGGGCACTGGCGCCAAAAAGCGAAGCCCATCTCTCGAGTCCAGGCGAATTTAAGGCGGAAAACTTTGATACGTCTGTCAGTGAACCTTAACAGACACAAATTATGACAAATGCGACTCAACCCAACGAGAAAAACACATCAGTCGGCCGGGCAGCGTGGCTGTCCGTGTCGCCTCCTTGCAGGGCTTGGATAGGTCACTGAAGTTCGTGCCAAACCCGACCCAGGCCTGAATCAGTGCAGACCTCATATTCACAATGCCCCGCACCCGCCCTGCCAGGTCTGCCCGAAACAAGATCCAGTTCGGGCTGCAGACGTTTCTACATGAGGAGCCCGTACGAGATTGAAGGATTCGACTCTTGACCATAACGTTATAAAGCAACATTTAGTGACTCCACCCAGAGTCGACAGACACGTATATAGCCCACAACCTTCAGCTGCGACACCCCACGCCTTGAATACTCTTGTCCCTACAAGCCCGGCACAACGACCCCCAGGCAACACCAACCTTCCAAATCTTCCAAAGGTCCTGCACTTTACCCGCGCATCAGCCTCTAAGCGATGTAAAAAGACTAGAAGCGCCAAACTCGACACCCCAAGTCCACATCAAACCCTCCTTCAGCCGAGGGCCCGGCCGTGGCATCCTCGGCGAAGCAGCTCCGTGAGGGAGCCAACAGCCAGGCCTGCCTGGACTCAGGCATGAACTTTCTCAAAGGCCTAGGACCTTAGGAGCTACGTTAGACTTCGGGGTCAAGAAGGCGTCCGGGTCTGAAGTAGTCTCGTAGATCTGCGAATCCTGAATATACGCTCCTGATGCTCATCGGAATCCATCCGCATTCCCCTGCCTGGGCCAAACAAGTCTTAGAAGCTTCGCCACAACTCTCATCCACCTGAGACAAGCCAGCCGAATCAATGTCACAGCTGGTTTCTGTGAAAAAGGGGAGTTGCAAGGCAAATGGAACTGCAGATTGGGCAAACCCCGATACTTTGATACAGCAAGACGACCCCTGTACAGACACGCCACGATCGCCAGCTGGGGCCGCAAAGACAGGAACTGGTTCTGTCGCCTGGAGCACGTCTGCATCTCTAATTTATGCTTGGGAAAGAATGTCTTGCCGATGCTTCTTCCTGTGTGCTCAGCCAAGACCTCCAACGAAAGAGGTTCAGACTTTTGGGTTTGTGGTTTTAGTTGGGACGTTTCGGGTTACAGAGACACTGAACAGCCAACAAGCACCGTGACACGCTCACACGATCCGTGGAGCTGGCATCCCGACCCACAAAACCACCATGAACATGGATCTTCCGATGCTCGACAGCCCAACGCTTGAAGAAACATGGTCCGCGACGTTGCTTGGCAAACTACTCCAGAAAGCTTCTGTGCGCAAGAAACTCACATCCGATCGGACCTGGCCAAAGTGCCCACGTCGAGATAGCTTTCAGTCGCTACGGCCGCCTGGGAAGTACACAGGTTCACGCTGCACACCCTGAGCATCTAGCATCTAACCCTCCAGTGGCTTTCAGGCGCGCCTGTGTGCTTCGCAGGTTTGGATGAAGTTGTGTTGAAGGGCTTTGTTTGAGCCATGACTCACTTGTCTGGTGAAACAAACATAGATATATGCTGGTGCGATGTGTGTGGCTATACACATACATACATACATACATATATACAGATTCTTCCTTCTTTTAATTCACGTGGTGGAGGGTGAGCTGTGCAAAGCCGGTGCCCTTCATCGGCAGGTGCTGAATGGCTTGCGGGTTGGGCCTCCAACCTGATCCAATCATGCCTTAACGGTCCCAAAGCGAACTCGACAATCCCAAACTTCAAACTGAAGAGGCATGCATCCCATCAGTGCCAAATCTACCTTGTCAGCCTGAACTGTATCAAATCTAGGGTTGGTGCTGGACCTGAGGTGTGCAGGGGCAAAGGCTTGTTTACGCCGCGAGCACGCAAGCGGCTCTACATACCACCGGCGCATGCTTCTGCAGCTTGCTTCTGAATTGCAGGGTCCAGGTTCCTGTGGTCACGTCTCTGTGTGTGTAGAGCTCGGGTCCAAGGCTCAGAGCATTCAGAGGCTTTGTTGTCCTTTCCTTCGAAAAACTAACGAGGTGTGGGTGTCTTTGGATGGGTTTGAGGAGGGCACTTCAAGGCAATGCCAGGTCTCGCTAATCCCCTGCCTTAAGCACGGTTCCTTCACAAGGAAGCACGACAAAAATGGTCAGAACAACATTATCATGAGAGCGTATGAGAGCATGATAGTGTTGCATGAAACTGACTCGGTTGTTGCGTCTCGGGGTCGAGCAAGGCACCGGTTTGACCAAGACGGCTTTGCGAGCTGCGTCCCCACAGAAATCTACCCGAAGCCCCTGTAGGTCATCCAAGAAACGAGCGGCACCCCGAGCCGCGAGGAGGCGATGTAGACAGTGTACCAATCGCATCCTCTGGGCATGGCTCTCTTGGCCGAAGGGACTTCTCAGACATTCAGGAAACTTCCTCGCAGAATGGAGCGTCTGGCTATCAAGCACAGCTCCAGTGGCGCTTGGGAGCTTGATGGTTGCTCTTAAGGTCTGAGGCGATTGGGAGTTAGGTCTACTGAGGTTCTTCGATCCTTCCGCACTGCGAACAGAGCAACTACTCTCCCAACATCCAGTCGAAGCCCCAAGCCCAAGCCCCAAGCCTTTAAAGGCAAAGAGTGGGCTGCGCCAGAAAAAGAGCGTGCACCGGCCTCGCCGCATCACCGTGAGCAGTGGACGGGGGCTTCTTTGTATGCCCAAGGCGACGAGTCCTCCAAGCAGAGGCAGGATTTCCAGGTCTCACTCACTCACGCGGCGCTGAGAATCCCAGGATAGCGCGGCAGCACTGGCGAAACCAATTGGGGCTGTACGCATCCGAGATTGGAGGCCAGGAAGCAGGGAATCGTGGAATGAAGTACGGGGCACGGTGTATGTGGGGTTCAGAAGATGATGGTGCTCCGCTCTTGGCGGTTGGGTCTAGAGGGCTGGGTTGGATTAGTTCCTTGAGTAGCGGGAACAACAGCACTGCAAACGCACGATCCTGGATAACACGCTCCGGGATCTCGTAAACATTTATACTCCCCCAGTACATGGTCTAGAAATCCGAAAACGACGGCGATGAAGCTCCAAGAAGATGTTGGGTTGCCCCCGCACACTTTTCGAAAAAAACTCGGGAAGCTCACGGGCATCTTTTTTTTTGGAGACTTCGGCTGTAGCAAGCAATAGAGCACGCGACCGTCTGCAGAACTGTGGCACCACTGTGGTTCACGGCCTTCAGGCACGACTCGCAGAGACCCCACCCCCTCTCCCAAACTCCCCGCAGTCCTCGCGCAGCAGCGAGGGACTTGTCTGAAAGCTCAGCATAGGTCAGAGAAGGTCCGGCTTCCTCACCGGCTCGCAAGCAGCATAAGGATGCGGGGCGCCAGATACGATGTAGAGCGATGCGCAGTCTAAACTGGCAGGTTCGAAGAGTTGTGTTGCTTTCACGATGTAGGAGGTAAAAAATGATAATCCTCCATGGACCAGGTTCCTCGGGATCCTCGGGTTCCTCGGGTTCCTCGGGTTCCTTCGGTCCCTGGGGTTCCTCGGGTCCCTCGAGCTCGGGTCGTTCAGAGGCGATGCAGGTTCGCAAGAGAACAGGAACAGGGCAAGAGGGTGGAGAGGCTTGAGCGCACATCGGCCTAGCAAACTCCGAAGCATATTGACCTGTTGGTGCAGAGCAACTTCCGGGCACTCCCTGGGACCGCGAATGCTGCATCCCCACCATTTTGGGCTCCTCCTCGACAGCTGGGCTGTCCGGCACCTGCAAGATCCCGGGTAGCGAGGGCTGAGTGGCTTAAGCCAGAAGATACAGGCTGCTTAGCGTTGAAGTTGGCGAAAGAAGTGAGAGCTGCGGCTTTGTGTGTGGGATTTCCATTCCTGCAGCTCTGACCGATCAAGCGCACCATAGCTAGCCTAAGCCTGTGATTCATGTATTTGGGGGGGGGTCAAGACTCAGTTCCGCGACATCCTACATGCCTACCTTATCATGAGGCAGCGTGCAGCACCACCCAGACAAGCACACTCGAGAACCCGGCTGCTGAGCCCCCCCCCACCCCTGAAACAACATCATGGCCTTTGGAGCTACAGTAGGGATCTGGTGATATCCGTTTTACAATGACTACGAAACCACTTGCAGACACTCCACACCTAAGAGATGAACGTGACGCACGGGGCTGGGGTGGACCTAAGTCGGAAATCTGTCGAAATCTTGTTTCGCTTCTGCACTGTTGGTGCATCAAGCGGACCTCCGAACCTCAGCGCGATCCAGCAGGTCATGCAAGAGTTCGCCAACAGCCAAGAGCGCCCTTGGGGACCTCTTGGGCCGGCAAAACTCACCGTCACCCGAATCAGCGACAGCAGGGCTGCCAAAAGCTGCTTTAGCAACTTGCATTGAAAAGAGGCCGCCCGCGGTCTGCGTGAGATCGACCTTTTATGCTTTTGTTTGACCGGATCACTTGTGGCCTTATGGGCGTTGGACAACATTCGTAAACATTAGCATGTTTAGTACGGTACTCTACTAAGAGGGAGGATGTCAAACCAAGAACAACAATACAACAGCAAGAGGACCGGATATTCGAACATGAGAAGAGGGAGAGAGAGAAAGAGAGAGAGCGGCAGGGTGGCAAACGAAAGTCTGCTCAGATTTTCCGTCTTGGGAAAATTCGAATATGTGCTCTAGTTTGGGGACCATGAGAATCTTGATAGGTAGCAAAGGGCCAACAGCAGCCGTCAAGTGAAGCATGAAGGGTTCAATCCACGATGGCCGGACCCCTTTTGAGCCCAGCCCAGGCGACACAACTGACCTTCACGGTCACAAGCTTGCGGCGTTTCAAGCCCCCTGCTGCACAGCCCCCACCACGACGGGTGGCCCACCCTTTGCCGCGGGCTCGTTCATGTTGGCCTTGCAGCAGCCGCAGCACACGCAGCAGCCCAGTGAGGCCGCCACGATGCCCAAGACGCAGGTGGCCCAGCCAAAGGCGCCGATGTAGACCACCAGGAAGCCCAGCGCGTTGCAAAGGGATGACATGTCGTCCCTCTCCTGTGCTGAGCACTCGTAGCCGCTGCAGCGCTCATTGCAAATGGCATCCACGAAAGGCCCGCAGGCACCCATGGAGCCAAGGAGGGGAAGCGCCAAGGAGACCAAACCAAGCACGATGGCCATGCCAGCAATGATCTTCCCGTACTGCTTCAACACTCCACAGCAAAGCGGCAAGGAGGCCAGGATCACCATGATGAGGGCCAGCGCCATGCCACCGAAGGAGCCACCATAGAGGGACGCTGTGAAGGAATTCTGGTCGAACTCGCCATTGTTGGTGCAGGCCCAAGCGCTTGCGCAGCAGGCAGCCGCAAGAAGGACCTGCGACACGTCAGGATGCGCACCCTCCCCCTCCCCCCGACAAGCAAAGAACGACCACCAGAGCTCTAGCAAGATGATGCTACCGTTCCGCCGCCTACATCAGCATCAGCCGCGATGCACCCTAAACCCTAAACCCTAAACTCCAAGCATAAGTTTGACCGATTGTCGGTCTTTCACCCGGAGTGCCTTGGAGCACAGGGATGTCATGATGGACCGAGGCGCCGTTGCTCACCACAGTGCTTGAGCCGCTTGGTATGCTCCCAGGAGGGGTGATCTACACATATATATATATATATATATCACCCCTATATATATATATATATCACCCCTATATATGTATGTATAATCTACAATCTGAACGTGCTCGCATCTACCGTTTCTTTCGATTCTTCCCTCATGTCAGAGCTCAGTCACCCCTCGTTCCCTGAGGCAACTTTCCCACACCACACCGCCTCCCATCGTCCCAAGGTACAGGCGTAGAATGTTGCTGCTAGCCCTCAGACCCTAGCTGCTACAATCTCTTCAAGACGAGAACTACAACCCTAAGCCCTCAGAACCCAAGGCTTGCGGTAATGAAACGATGCATGTGTGACAGATTCTGTATGCCGTTAAGTTGACTTTCGCCACGACTCAATTGAGTGAGAAACTGAGTACAGCATCAAGACTGCATGCAAGAGCAGAGATGTGCAAACCTCGCTAGCTGCTGCATCCACGGCGTCTGCCAAAGAACCAGGGCCGTCCATTGGAAAAAGATCGCGTCAAGAGAACGTAAGTAATTAGGCAGAGGGCCAGACGGCTTAAGGTCCAGGGCGCAGAGCAAAGCTTTAGGATTTGGGCTGAGAGGGCTTCAGAGGTTCTGGAAGGCGATCCCGTGCAACATCCGCGCAGCTTCCTTTGAGCCGCTGTGCCATAACAGAAATACAACAGAGATGTCCACAAGGGCAGGTTGCCAGATAGGTGACTTCAGATGTCAGAGAATTTGGGCTGATGGGAGGGTTTGATCGTTGGTTGAAGTCCCATGCCCGGCACATGCACAGTGCCCGAACCAGCAATCCTGGACTAAAGGCCAAAGCAAACCTTCGTAAACCTTACCCAAACCTTTCCACTAACTGAGCCCAAACACTTTGGCTCCTTAAAGGCTCTAAGCTAATCCCCAAGAGCTTGGCAGCCCTGCTAAGGGCATGTTATGCTTCGCAACCTCCATGTGGGTTTGTGAAGGGCAGATGCCTGCTGGGTCCGCTAAAGCTTGCATGGAACTTCTCAAATCTTATCATTTAGAATCTCTGGCATGCGTGATCCCTGGGTAGTTTTGGGCCTCAGCCACTGCAACAAAGTCACAGGACGTGTCCGGGATTGATTTAACATGCAGGAGCAAGCCGGACCAAGAATGTGTTGAGGGATTCAATCTCTTCTTCAATTCTAACCTGCTTCAGTGCCGAACACAGCTACTGGACCTGACCATACAATATGAGAAACCCTCGAATTGTTGTTCGCTTTCCTCTCCGTGTCGTTTGACAAGCTAAGCCTCTCCGCGGGGTCACTCGGGTCACTCCTTCCTAACAGCAACACGCGTGGGGTTTCATACAACCTCCCGTGGCACAGAGTGGCACAGAGTGGCACAGCATTTTTTGGGAGGTGCGCACGCCCTTCCCTTCGTTCGTACTCCCAGTAGACTTTCCCAGCACACATTGTTGTTGCTGGCTTCGGCCAACCGCTCACAGCGTGAAAGCTGAATGAAGGGTGTGCCGTCTATGAGCAGGTCGGGACCAGTGAAAAGCTCCAGCTTGGAGCGTGACTGATGCATTGCACCGCTTCCGCCCGTCGTCGTGCCACTGTGCAAGCTCTTGGTCTGCTGTACGGACACTGCTGAGCCCTTCTGCGAGACATCCCTGCATGAGGGCGTCCTACAGCAACACTTCAAGGTTCTTTCTGCTCAGAGTTTGCTTAGGGAACTGCAAGACGAGTCGTGCATGAACAAGTGTGTATGTACATATCTGCGACCTGTGTATTATGCATTCTTCACCAACCCTACCCCATGGATCCACTGCTTGGTGGCTTTGAACCGCACGTGACCGGAAAGTCTTTGGCTTAACATGACTCAACATGATTAACCATTCAAGCCACCAGCAGAGGGCCGTAGCTCAAAAGCCTGGAAACTTCCAAACGTAGGGTTCAGGGTCCGGGATTTAGGGTTTAGGGGGTTCAGGGTTGGTTTTTCGTTGAGGGTAGTGGGACAGCACTGCCCTCAGTCAGCAGTGTACATGGGGTTCTGCTTTGGGGTCAGTGAAGCATGTTTCATCATGCTCCTGAGACTTCTAGCAATTGCTTTGGCCACTGGTTCAACTGATTCATGAAGCCTGCAATTGAGAATAAACTTGCTGCTTTTGTCTGCTCGAAGGTTTGTGCGACTGAAGCATCTTCATCAGGAGAAGCACAGATTGAATCAAGCTATGGCTACAGTATATGTCTCAAACTATAAGTATGCTCGAAAATATACTGCGTTGAGACACAACAGGAGACCTACAGTGCTAGCTTGCAAGCTTACTCGGGGGAGGGCAAAAGCGGGAGGCGGCACACTTTCTAGTTGTCTCTGTGAAGGTTTAGCGTCTGGTCCTAGGGTTTAGGATGTTTTCCCATGCACCTTCCTCTCGCCCGGGTCAAGGGCTGCACTAGGAATAGTTTGTCACGACTTGAGGGTCAAGGGGTATGCCTCGGCTCATGAAAATTCACCGCACCCCCGCCCGAACGCAGGGTTTCCGAACAGCTGCGCTGCAAGCCGTCTCTGGAGCTGCAACCGTCGTCAACGCAATGGTCAGGCGTGCTCCTATGGATCCGAATGCTTGTGCCCTACCTCTGCCACACATTTGATCGGCTTGCATATGCAACTTCAGAGATCCTAATACGATTAAAGTTTACGATCCGAAGTTTGCTCACATGACGCATCTTTGAAACCTTAAGTCCCTGAAGACGCCTAGTGTCTGCTTTGCACTCTACAGGTACATCCCGATGAGAGGTCATGAGAGGGAGCAGCCCCGAGCCGGCAAAGGCCAAGCGCACACTGAGCCCACATGAGGCTTTTAGCTGGCAACACCCGGATTCGAAGGGCTTGCGAGATGTGAGCCCGGGTGTCAGGAAGTTGCAGGGCCTGGGGATTCGGATTTGGACCTAACGACCACCACCGACGCTTCAAGACCCCCAAGCACACCCGAGCCACACGAAGAGCCCCCCGAAAGCTGGGCCCTCGCAAGCCTGCCTAACTAAGCCGATTAGTTCCGTTCTGTCGGCAGGTTCGGAGAAGGCCAGCACCCAGCTCAAGGTTCGGTCGGGGGAGACCTTCAGAAACCGTGCTGCACCCATCTGCTTCTCTCCTCTACAATCTTGCAAGAGTTTGAAATTGACGACAAAACCGAGAGTTGAGCGCTGCCCCCAGCTGAGCCGAGGGCTTTGAGGGTTTAGGTGCTCTTGATCCCCCAGTCTAGACACCGAACCTGTCTGAGGCTTGGGCCCCTCCTGCCTCTCAGTGATTCAGCTACCATGCACCGGGCTGCATGCCCCTGCTTGAGATTCACCGATGGATTGCGCCTCGACCGAAGACAGCATAAGCTACTGTAAAGCTAAACTACAAAGTCTTGATCCTTCCAGACCTGAAGCCTCAAGCCCCCAGATGCTCAACATTCTGAAGCTTCTACAGCCTTACCACCTCAAAACCTTTCCGCATGTTTGAAGATCTTCCAGGCACCGAGTATTCCACACCGACATGTTTCGAAAGAGGCTTCTGGTAACCCATGCATGGACCCACAAAAGTCTGGAAAATGGCCACCATCACTGACCATCACACCATCGGGACACCGCCTCAACACAGAGTTCAGCCCGGCCCATGCAGCCCACAGACCCCAGGATGAAGCGGGCACAGTCAGCCGCAGCACTGCGTTGTCAGAAGCACTTTCACCGCCGTCACCGGTTCTCTGCTAGCACGGTGACATTAGGGGACAGCGGCAGCCGCACTAGAACCCAGCTCTTTCAAGCACAGCGATCTCGGTGCTAGCCTTCTGACAGAAGGGCAAACAGCTTTGTGCCAGCGTGCTGCGGTACATGAGCACGATTGATTGCTGGAAAACCTCACGTCCGCGGACGCGGGAACCCATGAATCCAGGCAGCACGTCATGGGACACTGATGAACAGCCTGCATGTCACTGATGGGTGCCCCGCTGCAATCGAAGCCGCAGGCAGAGAAGATGTAGGACAGAGGACATGAGACATCTTGAACAGAGATCCCCACTTGCCACGCACAGCTGCCACGTGGTGCGACAGCCTCTGAGCTTGTGACTCTTCTGAGTTCTCCAGTGTTAAGACATGTTAAGACCATACACCTATGTTTCACCTCTTTCGACTACATCCTCGAAGGGTATCAGGATGGTTGAAGCTGAGCAGGCTCGGAATTCCGTAGTTGGTCTTCGCGAAAAGATGTTGCCAGCATTGTACATGGCATAGAACTGTTGAACTCTGCGTTTCACTACCCATTTCCAGCTTCAAGAACCACTGAATACCCGAAGCCTACACCGACAAGAGCTACAACCCTGTGCATCCCATGCCCTAGTGCATCCAGGGTGTTAGTTGTTAGCAACCAGCACCACCAGATTTCTTGGAACAACACGCAGCGTCAGCCTCTTTCAGAACGGATTGTGGCCAGGCGAAACAACTTTCCTTGATCCAGTCACAGCTCAGACATGCCAAAACCCCAGGAGCAAGTGGGGAGGAAGCAGCAAGCATAGCAAGCCTTCCATCGTAAACCAGAGTCATCGATTTCCACACGTATCCTGCAAAGACGCACCTTTCACGCACTCTGTCCCGGACTGGAACTCCTCCCATACCGTATGAAGCGTGACAGAATGGCTTCATCATCCTAACCGTAAACGGGTTGCTCGGGGGATCTCTCGAGTCGATACATCTAAAGCTGTTTAGCACCTAACTCTCAAAAGCCCCCAGCATTGCGCGTCTTCTCCGAAACTATCTGCACAAGGTGACCAAGGAGGCAAGCCAACAGTGCGGAGGTTGAGTGCACAGTGCAAGAAAGATCGTGATTTTGTCAATTTTGTGCATGTTCAACCCGGGGAGGGAAGGGAGGGGGGAGGCTATCCATGACTTGGAGCTTTGGGCACTTCTTGGTGAGGTCCGAGAAAACCCCAAAACATCCAAAAAAACCCTTACAACCCTGAGCCGTACCTTCTGTTTACCCATGAAAGACACAGCAACTGCTTCTGAATCTTCACCCGTCCGTCGTTTTATGGCTCGGGGGCTTAGTGGAACTCACAGGCACATTAACATGAAAGGCCTGCAAGATCCTAGGACATCCAACCTCCGCATCTGCTCCAAACAAATTCCGCAGGGCCCTGGCCGGACCTATAAACTACACGTGCACGGTGCCACCCCAACGCAGGGGCTGGTGCATTCAGTGTTCTTGTCGGCTCAGGGTTCAGGATCTCTCACAAACCCGCTACAAACCAATAAACTCTCAACCGGCGCCATCCTAAAGCCATGTGAACTCCAACCCCAAGAACGCAAAGCCGTAACCAGCACGGTAGGGGCTGCAAGTGCTCGGTTTAGCAGCAGGCCTTCTTTTCTGGCGTGTCTTATCCATTTCTTCTTTGTGTTTGTTCATTTGGTTTGTTTACGATAATAAGGGACCCCTAGTATAGACCGCCAAATAGTAGGATCCTCTTATAATAAGGACCCAATAAGGTACCCCAATATCGTAAACCCCGTATCTCATACTTTTATCCGGGCTTCTGTCTCCGAATAATCCTTCCAGGAATTCAGGACTTCCCACCACTGATGACATGGGAATTTCGTTTTCGTTTTGTTGACGACCACTCCGGTCCAGCATGTCCTAGTTGACATTGCTCAGGATCAGTCAGTACTTACGGTGTCTGCCTTTGCGGCCCATGGGTTTCAGAATGCTGGCCGGGGGGGCACAGAAGTTCTGGTAGCTTCCGGTGCATGGCATTTGCACCAGAAGGTTGTACACTTCAGGTTAGGGCGGCTCCGCCGCCTTATATGGGACCTATGTCATGAGGAATTTGTGACTGTGGCTTCACATCGAGTAGACCTCCGGTAGACCAATTGAAGCCGAGACAAAGACCTAAAGGCCTCGGCAAGTATGGAGTATGGAGCATGGATTTGATGAGATGATTACTATGCTTAACTTATCAGGAACCCAAACCCTTGAACTGCGCGTTGGCGAGGAGTTACTCTTCAGTGTCGGGTTTGCCATGGGTTGCCTCAGTCCCTGCGCCTGCTTTGATGGCAGTGAAACAGACCTCTTGTACATGTTGCTGAACTGGTGGCACACATTCCTGGAATGCTAACACCAGAAGATCATCATGCATGCCTAAAAGATGGCAGCAACAACAGTGTGCGGTACAACTCACCTTTCACCAAAGGTCCACCAGGTCTCCTCGGCGAAACGTTGTCCCGAAGCACATCAAACAGCTGTACCCAGGACGATGCTTCTCTCGCCTGTCAGGGCTCAAGAAAAGAACACGACTGTGAACACGCGCGCGAACACGGATGTGAACATCCAGGGACCCTAAACCCTAAACCCTAAACCCTAAACCCCAAACCCTAAACCCTAAACCCTAAACCCCAAACCCTAAAGTCACCTAGCACATCCCAGCACCTCGGAGTGGCATGCAGTCAATTCATCGAAGCCTCAGCATTGGGGATCCGGCCCCTCATGGTTCAGGACTTTGTTGCGTGAGCAGCTGAACTGGTTTAGGGTTTAGGGTTAGGGTTTAGGGTTTAGGGTTTAGGGTGCAGGGTTCAGGGTTTAGGGTTTAGGGTGTAGGGTTTAGGGTTTAGGGTTTCGGGTTACTGCTGGGTGCTTTCTCTAAGGGCGCAGGGGTCTCGATCATCTCAAAGCAGCTGCTGAGGCCCCAGGCCCCTCCCTTTCCACTGTTCAGGTTGCGGATTTCAGCGCTCGTCAGTAAGCGCCCACGCCTCATGCTGGCGAGAAGGGAGAGGAGGGCATGGGGGTGGCAGAAGCAAGGATTTCAGGTTTAGGCTGACCTGTGCAGAGTCAGTCCTTGGTTGGGTCGCAATGCACGCTGCATGGGGGTCAATGCCACTTGCGGCACCTACTGCAGAGTCCTAGATTCCTTGCTGGGCTCCATCCTGGGTCACTTTGGATCTTGTCCCTGTTCACAGGTATGACGACCCCAGTGTGCTCGAACTCCCCTTCCCCTGACTTCATTGAGGTAGTAGAGGTCCTGTTTGTCCTCTTCGGACCCTGCTGTTTTCCGTTCAAAATCGCTCCCCCCCCCACCCCACCCAAGTTGCTTCAACGCAGGGGGCTCTGCTGTGAACCTGCCAGACTTCCCGAAACCCAAAGCGGCCGAGGATTGGCGCTACAACTTTCCTGCAGGTACGGGGTATGGGGAGGGCTGGCCCCTGCAATAACCCATCCGCAAAAACGCAAGATCGAGCCTGAACCTTCCGAACAAGTTGAGGCATCAGCAATGACAGAAGCAAAGCACGGCAACCCAATGTCCGGTGACAGCTGCACCCTGTGGCACAGATGTAGCTAAGCCAAGCGGCAGAAGGGGACAGACACGATGGCCACGCTGTAGCCTTGTCCCTGTCAGCTTAGACGCTTGGGCCCAAAGTAACATGGAGGTTGGGAAGCGCTACGTATAAGGGCAGCTTCTGTGTGACTATCAGGTATCGGAGTGTTGAGGCGTGACGTTCAAGAACTGATGCCTTTGTTTCGAGTAGAGCTGCTGGCTAGATAGAGCACGAGCTGCTAGTTTCGGTCAAGAGGCAGACGGTTGCGAGCCCTCCGGGATGGCAGTCTGTAGGACCTAGGAAGCACTTCAACAGGTTCTTCGGGTTTTGGGATGCTAGGCCATCGGGGGCGTTCTGCCGCGTGCGCGTGCGCTTCACTCAAGCCTGCGTGTTGGCTGCAAGAGGCGATTGGCGAAAGAGTCTCCCAATATTGCCGCGGAAATTAGTTGAGGGCTCTGGGCGTCAGAGATCTTCAGAGTGGTAGAGCCACACCACGGCAAGGGGTACTGTGTCACGTAAACCAGAAAGAAATCATGAGCAGCCAAAGATCAGCCTCATCATTGTCATGAATTCTCCTGAGGCAAAAGATTTCTGTGGCCTGTCTTGGCACTATGCGCCTTCCTCCTGAGGTCAGCAACCAACCATGATCAAACAGGTTGTAACAAGCTCTACGGCAAGAAGACTCAGCAGTCACCCCCCAACCTCAGACCTAACTTCAAGAAGGGACCTCAAAGCAGAAGCTCAAAGCCCGAGACCGAACCGCAATCAGAGCGGTAAAGCCAGTGCGGTCGAAACATCTCAACCCCGAGCTCTGGACTTCCTGTAGCTGAGCGCCTGAAACCCTCCCGATGTAGTCTGCTCAAACGCGACGGGATAAAGAGCATCTGTAGGAAACTGGCATGGCCTTTGCTGGCGAACCCCTCTGAGAACCCAGCGATGGAGACTGGGACGGGAGTTGCTTGGCCGTAAGACCCTGCGAGACTTGGCTGAAACACGAGAAAATGGGAGACACTCAGACACTGCAGTTCTTCCCTCGGGGCTCCCGTAAGAGGAAACATGCAAGGGACCTTGACGGAGGGCTGGATGAAAAACACATTTGAAATTGCTGGTCCCCGAAACCCATGTCGTTTTCTCTACTCCATAGCGTTCTACAGTGATTTGTGCAAGTCTTATGTCATCGTAACCCTCCCCCAACGTACCGTTGTACGTGGTTATTTTTTACAAGCTCAGGGCCTCAAGGAACTTGCTAGGGCGCTTTCGCAGAGTTTCTCGGACTTTCAGATACCCCCTGAGGACCTTTGAGGACTCTGTGCGGAAAAGTCACCCTTCTTCGACACGTCCTGAAGACTGTATTATTTGTCTGGAGATGTTCAAGCAAGGCGTAGCTGATCTTCGTTCTTTTGCTGTGCCGGTCTTATGTCATGCCCTCTCCTTCTTCTTCTTCTTCTCCTTATTCCTCTTCCTCTTCCTCTTCCTCTTCTTCTTCTTCTTCTTTTTCTTCTTCTTCTTCTTCTTCTTCTTCTTCTTCTTCTTCTTCTTCTTCTTCTGCTGGGGCGATTGTTTCTGCTGCCGAGCTTTTCCTGCTATCCTATCGGCTTCGGGCTGGGAGCATGCTCTTCCCCGAGTTAGGCTCCCCCCTCCCAAAGCTGCGGTCAATGCATTCATGCTCAAGGATAAAGTGCCTGGGCATACCCGCGCGCCGTGCTGACTGCGCACGCATGTATTGCCTATGTTCAAGCGCCTCCGTGTTCATTAGCGGGCAGACTCAAACTGGGGATTCTCTGTGTTCCGTGCATGTACCTTTCCGAAAGAGGGTAGGTGGGGGGAAAAGAGGAGGGGGCGGGGGGCAGCCCCGCCCTCCTTCTTGCAAACATGATGATGGAAGCATGTTCGTTGCAGGTTCCCGTTTGCAGATGGAAGGAGTTAGGGGCATCTCTGTGCGCAGCGTGCGCACCTTCCCGCTCCCTTATTCGCAACATGGTGTTGGAAGCATACTCTTTGCAGAGGCCCCAGTTTTCTGATGAAGTGATGACTGTGCAGTGAATAACTTACCTCAGCGCCTGGACCGAAAAGGGTAGCACAAGAAAAACCCAGGCCCGCATTTCTCATAACCAACCGGGGACTAGCTACGTACAGAAACGGCAGAATAACTGAGGTCAAAGCTAGCTGCTCCGAATTACTGCTCTTGGGATTCGCCGTTGAAATTTCGGCGTCGTTCGATGTTCTTAGCGACTGGAATTCGAGCGACTCTGTTTTGGAGCCTCGCTACTACCAGTAGCACTGAGCTGTGCAGGAATCTACGATGAAACCCCCGCCCCCGAGAGCGGCGCCATCGATCGAGTCAGCCCCTCCAACTCCCGCAAGCTCCTGCAGATTACTGCATGTGTATATACATATATATATATATATATCGATATATTATTCTTATTGTTATTAGCAAATTACTGTATATTATATATATATATATATATATTTTTTTTTTATTTATTTATATTTATATTTATATATATGAGTCACGGGGCTTTGAGCGAAGGAAGCTCCAACAAGCTGTCGATTCAATGATGCTGGTCGTGAAGGTGCATCACAAGCTTGGAGGCTGTGCCAATTACACCTGCAAACCGAGAAACCTACGACAAAGGCATGCAAAGAATGGGCGAGTTCTCCAGATGTCAATTTCTGAGGTAGAGGCGCAATGACCGTAGCAAGACCGAACACACAGTGGCACACACCTGGGTCTTTCAACCCACCCATATATATATATATATATATATATATATTGTCCGAACAAGCAGGCTCTTGGCCCAAGGTTCACTGGCTCCTTTGCTAGAAGACAATCTATCCTACACCCAGCCTTATCTCCCATAATTACACCCCTACTCCCCTTTACCTACCTCTTCAGGTTCGGCTTCAGGTTACCCTCCGAACCGAAATCCTGAGCGCGAGCAGATCACGACTCCTTGCCCTCCTCGCATGCGTTCGCCACACGCTTCTTGAGCCTCTTGCCTTGGGTGTGCTTCAGGCAAGTACGGGCACAAACAAGCAACTTTCCCCAAAACCCCGAACAGAAAACGGCCGAATCTTGCGGCTACACCCTCGGGGAAATCCAAGCTGCTCTTCTTTGGCTTCGGCTTGCTCCGCCGCCTGGGCACAGCATCGAATTTCGGGTGCAAAATCTCGGGGCTGAGAGGATTCTTCCCTAAGCCCTAAACCCTAAACCCTAAACCCTAAACCCTAAATCCTAAACCCTAAACCCTAAACCCTAACCTTGGGTTTAGAGCACCGCTCGTGGCCTAAGGCGCGTATGTTGCCTGCGGCTCTTGATTCCTGTCCTGCAAGGCTTCTGACTTGGAGGTTCCCCTAAACTCTTTTGTACACCCAAGTCCTAGATCGCATGGTTTGGGATTTGTAATCACCACTATTTGTTTGAGAACCCCAAAAGAATAAATAAAATATGGGACGAGAACAGAAAACCTTCTGGCCACGTACTCGGGAAGTGCGACGAACGGAAAGCCAGAATGACTCAATGCTGAAAGCCAACACCTGTTCAAGATATTCAACCTACTGAGGAGCGGACTTCTCGTGCGAGAAATGGCAGAACATGCAATCCTGCAGCGTGTCGAGGTCTTGGCCAAGGTGTCGGAATGTAATACCTCTCCTGTTTCCTTGCCTTTTGCTTTGCTTTTTGGCCTAGCTGCATGCAGCCTTCATGAGAGGTAAGCAGGCTAGGCTCTCCAGCCGCCCATTGTAGCAGAATTTCCAGGCGCAGCAAGCAAAGTCGGCTACTGCTCATAGATCCGTCACGATACTTGCTGGTACGAGGGGCTTTCAATGCAAATGCAAAGAGTCCGATCGATGCAGCGCGTGTGAGCAGAGCTTGTACAAGAATCACAGTGTCCTTGCCGTTGTTGCACCTCCCCTTTGGGAAGAAACAGCAGCGCCTGGAAATAGAAGTCTGAGGATTTCTGGGGTTCAAGCAAACTTCGAAGCAACGATCGGAAACTTACCTGCTCGAGGCTGCTTCAAAGAGAAGGGACCTTTAACGCTGGCGAGCACCTCATGCAAGAGCAAGTGGTATGACCAAACCTTTAGACCCCAAGAACGCGAGCGTTGAGCTATCAAGTATGCTTTCAACTTTCGTCAGCTGGTCTTGACGTTCTTGCTGATGCTTCTTGACGCTCTTGACCTTCTTGTTCATGCTCTTGACATCTCTTGACCTTCTTTACCCTTCTGACTTCGTGGCCGTCTGGTCCCGAGAAGACTGACCTTTGTCGGTCGTCTTGACCCTCTTGATTTCTGGTGCAGAAGAGCGAGGTGATCAAGACTGTCAAGAAGGACAAGGCGGTCAAGACATTCATGCGATCTCATGCGATATGCACCTTTTGGACCCTCTTTGACGTGCTTGTCCAGAGAACATAGGGTCAAGGCGGTCAAGACGGTCTAGGCAGACCTTTTCGACCTTCTTGATCCTCTTGACCTGCTCGAGTTTTTTTGGCCCTCCTGTGACCGACGTGGTCAAGACGGTCAAGACAAATTTAGCGCGCCCCCAATGCCGGCGCACTCAACTTGTCCCCTCCCTGTGCCAAACAAGGCGTAGAGTTTAGGGCACAGCAGGCGTAAAAGGCATGCACCAACAGTAGGATGATCTGGGTCGAGGCGCCTGCACGCTCCCTCCGCGTGTTTGGCTGATCCGATAGACGGCAAAGCCTTTCAGTCCGGGCTTCGGGGTGGTGGGCTGCAGAGACACAAGGACTGAGCTTTTGAAGGCAGCAAGACTGGAAGCCAGCCCTGAAAATGGTCTCTCAGATTCTCTTGGCCCGCAAATGGCGCACAAGCCCTCGAAACGACTTGAATCTCCAAACCTAGCCTTGTGTGTACTCGACAAGATGAACCTAGCCCCTGCAAAGTCTCTATAGGGAAAAATGAGGGTTTCCGACATTCGGGGCAACAAGCGAATCCTACCATTTGGGGGGGTTCGATGTCAGGGGTCCCCTCTTTTCGTAAACCCCCCATATGAGACCCAATGATTCAATGAAGTAGGGTTTATATTCCTTGTATCCCCAAAAGGACACCCAATATACACACTCACCACGATTAACCGGAACCATATAAACACTCACCAAGAACAGCAATATAATCCCTGCTTCCAATGGGCCTGAAAATGCCAAACCAGGCACCAGAGAGATTGTCTGACTAAGCTTCCAGCAGCGTCTGCCGTGTAGACCGGGCAAATGTTGAGCTCCTCTACAGACTACAAACCCTAAACTCTGAATCCTAAACCCTAGACCTTAAACCCGAAACCCTGAATCCTAAACCCTAAACCCTGAACCCTAAACCCTGAATCCTGAACCCTAAACCCTAAACCCTAACCCCTAAACCCGAAACCGCTCCGTTTTTGCCCCGCTCAAGCTCTCCCGCCGGAGTTCGCGGCCAGTGCTTGCATAGAAGCATCCCATACCAGATGCAAGTTTCTATTACGTTTAGGGTTTAGGGTTTAGGGTTTAGGGTTTAGGGTTTAGGGTTTAGGGTTTAGGGTTTAGGGTTTAGGGTTTAGGGTTTAGGGTCTAGGGTTTAGGGTTTAGGGTTTAAGGGTTAGGGGTTAGGGTTTAGGGACGCCTTGTTTAGGCAACAGGATCCCGGACCAGCTCTCAGAAGGCCAGCCGATGCTGAGAAGGGGAGGGTGAAAACAAGCCCCGACAGCCTCCTCCTCGTCTTCATCCGCGGAGGACCCGCAATCCTGGAGAAAAAAAAACATGCGAGCGCAAGGGTCCGCATCCGAACTGCTGTAGTAAGATGGGTCAACGCATACCGGAGAAGTCTACACCGGTTGGGAAGCTTCAGATCCCGAAGAATGATCTGGCGAGCCTTCGCTCTGAGCCATTACAGCCCTAAGCAGCTTTCTTGGAAACCATGAAGTCCACGACATTCCAAGTGAAGCCCTGTAGTGTCGATCGTCGGCACAGGCAGCTGCATCAGTTTGGGAACTTACAACCAAAAAAATCCCCGGCCTCATCCGTGGAGATATTGTGGATGTGCAGCTTGGTAGCTGACTCCTTCCATTTCACAAGCGTCACAAGCGACACCCGGTACTGCAGTGTTGTAGGATGAGACTGCAGGGAGAATCCTGGAGGAAACCGAAAGCCTAAACGCCTTAGTCGTTTGTCACTTAGTTCCTGAGAAGAACCTGGACCTCAACCGCTCAGAGTGAGCCTCCTAAAACCCGGCTACCTTCAGTGAAGCCCACTCAAAAACCCGGAGAATCAACCCTAAACCCTAAAACCTAAACCCTAAACCCTAACACTTACCGTGGAGACGGCTCTGCAGTCGAGCCTCTTGTCTCCCCGCAGTGTCCTGGCAGTCTGTTGACCTGGTGTCACTCTTCGACTCTTCGCTTCAGGTCAGTGTCTGTACTAGTATCCCCTGCTTGATTTAAAAACAGACGCTAATGAATGAGCATAGGCAAAGTGCACACGGCAGGATGTGGAGGCTTGTGAACGTTAGCTAACATACACGCAGCTGTCTCAGACCGCTTCACGACGAGTCCCTGCACGTTCACAGGCCAATCTCTGTACATTCACGGGCCAGTGTCGGACATGCTTCGTTCGCCCCGAAAGGGCGACGCGAAAGGGGTCCCCTTGTGATTCAGGTGTGTCTTCGAGCCGCAGGAGCTCTTGTAGCTCGTTGGATTACGAGTCGCAAGTGCTTTTCAGCGATCAGAATGCTTAACTCCTTTGCCTTCGTGCCCGTGCTGGTGGTCCAAATTCGGATGTCATCGTGGGCATGGGCTGTGTCATGGGTGTCTTGGTCTGGTCCATACTGCCAATCTGCGCACGGGACGTGACTTGAAACGTGCGACTGAGCTCCCAACTTCTCCGGAGATATCCTGTACCTGCCAGGCCCGGGATAAAGAGGCTGTAAGGTGCACAAAGGAAGTCACCACGCCATGAAAACCAGAAACTTGCTTTAAGTAGTTAGACATCGGCGCTTCGCCGGAAGATCTGCGGTTTCATGCCTTCACGAGGTCTACGATGGTCTCCGTGAGCTTAGACTTGAGAAAGTTTGAGGTTTAAGGAGAGCTTCGTGTCGCAAAGTACTCTTGGCAGTTTGGTGGCAGCTGCGACCTCCGTGTGCAGCCGGTGACGGAAGATCTTTCGCGTTTGCATCCGGCGCGCCGCTTCTCAAGTTGCCACAACAGATCCCGCAAGCTCCTACAGCTGGAAACTGCGCCGTGGCGCGAAAAGCACGAAGTGTAAAGCTGCGCTAGAGTCTGATCATGACACCCCTTCCGAACGCGCCGCAGAATTCCAGCTGGCAGCTGAGGAGCTCTGCCGGTGGCTGCGACGCCTTCCGTCAATTCTCAACGGCAGTCGGGGGTTCATGCTGCTCTTGACTCTCACTCCCTGTCAGAAGCCAAGCCCTCTGCACAGGCCTGCGATGAGTCCCCAAACCCCACATCTGGACCTGGACCTGAAGCTTTTACATGACCCCCAACAGCCGAACTGGGTCGACCCCTTAAGGTGACCTGATCTTGAACCATGAGGGCAGACTTCGGGTCGGATGACCCCTAACATTCCCTAGGCTCGCCTGCGAAGAGCTTGAGGACGCAGAAGACTTCCGGGCCTTCCATGCAGACGTCCAGTTTGTACTGACACTCCATTCTGTTCCGACCGCTGTACAGACACCTGTCAACGCATCAGAGTCCAGGCACGAATCGCGGGAACTTGGGAAGGCGTACCGCTCCAGGGAACGCGCGATGCGCGAGCAACGTGCGCAAAGTCAGCCGCGTTGCGCACAGGGTGCGGCCTCCTGTTGCAATAACTTTCGACCCTCAGGTGCTGACAGTTGAGGCTGCGGAACCTGCTTCTGGAAGCACCTGAGGCTCCGACGGCAAGGACAACGACGTTCCATTTTGGTTGCTTCTGGGGACGTTGAGTTTTGAGGGTCTCCCCTTGAAGGATCAACCCTGCTCAAGTGGCTCCAAGACCAGAGTGCCAATCGAGGCTAGAGGCTAGCCTTGCATACACGGGGCCTTCAAGCAGATCAACAGCAGAGTGTGCACAACCGTGTGACATTTAAAATGAGAGAGCCCCTCATGTACGCGCAGCTCCCTGAGCCAAAACCCACAGAACCCCATCCTTCATCCTGGTGCGACTTGCGCCGGTGCCCTCTCAGGATCCTGCGTCCGTCGCTCTTTGGCCTCGCAGCAAGAACGAGCACAACGCGGAACCGCCCAGCAAAGCTCAATTTTAGGGCTTTCGGTCTTTTTTGGAAATGTGCGCGTGGCCTGTTTCGTGTGGCAGCGCGTCAGACAAGAGCAGGCGTGCCAAAAATAGTGTCACTTTGGTCCACATGACAACGCTAGCACACCTCAGTTTTCGAGGCCTTCGCCACAACCCACTATGACCCCAAAATGAATACTCGATTTCGGTTCCGATGAAACGCAGGAACAAACTGCAGCAGACTTGCGCATCCACATGAGCCCTATCCCGAAGATATCCCTGAATTATGTCATCGCTCTTTTTACTCTTATCGTTTTCTCGAGTTTTAGCAGTATTCTGAACGTTATCGTTCTTTTTTACTCTTATCGTTTTATCGAGCAAAACGCACATCTGGCGCTTCTCTTTACTTTTCAATACTGGGGGTCTTTGTCATCCCTCACATCGTTCTGGGCCCTCAACACGGAAGCCTAAATGACAAAGCTTTCCGAACAGGACACCAAGCGCCTCTGTCGCTGCATCGCGGAGATAGCACGGCCTCCACAGCACCCATCACACTTTCAATCAGAATTGTCAGAATTATTATCAGAATTAGGGAGACCCCAGGCTGTGTAAAGGCACAAGTCACCCTTCTGGCTGACGTTATATGCGGTGCACCGTTGGGGTCAAAGTCTTAACGCAATATCCTGAAGCCTCTTGACAAACAAGCGCACATGTGCAGATATGTGAAGTCTTGAGCCTCTTTGAAGTCTACGTCCCTTCGCCTCTGCCTAACAGCCTTGGCAATGTCGCTGCCTCCTCCAAGGATGCGAGCATGCACCCACACATCGCGGCAGGCCTTGAGGAACCGACTGTCAGCGTTTGAAAGGGTTTTAGGGTTTAGGGTTTAGGGTTTAGGGTTTAGGGTTTAGGGTTTAGGGTTTAGGGTTTAGGGTTTAGGGTAAACATAATTCCCCCCGAACCTCAGGTCCGAAACCCTGGAGTCTCAGCACCAGGAAAAGAAGCACCTAGGTGCTACGGAGCTCCCATAGTACTGCACCAGGTGAGCACTTCAGGCATCCTCGCAGGACAGCACCCAGAAAACCTTGAGACTGCTTGCAGGGCTTAAGCCCTAAACCCTAAACCCCCTAAACAGTAAACCCTCAAGCCTCTGCTCGTGAATCGCTGGCAAAACTGCCGCTTGAAACGATCTTATACTACGCAGAATAAAAAAGACAAAACCTTATCCCAAATATATTGCAACCAACCTACCAAGCCTATCCCCCTTCCCCTTCGAGACCCTCAGACTGGGATCCAGGCGCCGTGTTCAAACCTGCCAACAGATGGTCTCTGAAATTTAAGATGGTTTAGGGTTTAGGGTTTAGGGTTTAGGGTTTAGGGTTTAGGGTTTAGGGTTTAGGGTTTAGGGTTTAGGGTTTAGAAACTACAGAGGACATAGACCTGGGCGATATTCCAGTGATGGGTACCCTCGCGACACTCCGGATGTCCAAATCCGAGCAGGGCCCCCTCGATTTCAGGAGAACCCATCGAGAGATCATCCGTGGCACCAGCACGTATCAACGCCAACTCTTCCCAAGCAGAGTTTCCGTTTCAGTAGCAGCCGCTCAAAAATCAAAGTGAAAGAGCCACGAACCCGAATGCAGACACGTGTCACGTACACCGCGTGCATAACACACGCAGCACGCGGCACGAGGTCCGAAGGTGTCCGATGCTTCCCTGCCGTTGTTTTTCTTATCTTTCATCTCAATTTTCTTCTCTGCCCATCTCTTATTCACTGTCTTGTCCTGTTGTCTCTGTTCTTTCTTCTTCGCACGGGAAAGAAGACAGCGCAGCCACGGAGTAAAGATAACCGTGGCGTTTCATCATTGTTCCTAATGCTTCAGACTGCACTCAGAGGTTTTTAGGGTCCGGGTCAAGGGTTTTTTGCGGCCTAATGTTCAGGGTATGAGGAATGTGTACTCTCTCGATCATGCGCGAAACTCTGCGAACGCTTCGCTAACACTTCACGAGCTTCGGCAACAAAAAAACGCACGATGTTGGGGTCACCTCGTCAACCCTTGGAACTCCAGCCCTTGAAAGCGTGACCTTTCTACTACGCATTACTACGTATTCGGGAACATGCATACCGTATATTCTTATAATTATATTTTGTTTTTTTATTTTCTTCTTATTTTATTCTTATTCTTATTACATATATATATATATATATATACATATTATATATATATATATATATATATATATATATATACATCTATACATATATATATATATGCATATATATATATATATATAAGACAACGAAACTCCAACGAATTCGCAAGCAGATGCAAACGCACCAACACTTCTCTAGACGGCACAGCCTAAAACATCAGCAAGTACCCCCACCCCCACCCCCCAATAGCCAAAAACAGCAGCGATCACGCATCCCAATGCAGACCCAGCTCCACACAACAGAACTCGAAAGACTTCAAAGACAGGGTCAAAAAAAGAGGGGAACGTGAGTAAACCCTTGTGGCGGTTCTCCCACTTGTGATGCAGCAATCAAAAGTGATGGGACTATAGTGGGCCTCTGCCAACCTCAAATGAGCCTTCCCAACAGGATTAGGGGTTAGCATTCGGTTAGGACACAGCATTCATGGGCTTATCGCTTTCGATACCCTAAACCCTAAACCCTGGACCCTCTAGTCCCCAGACCCGAGACCCTAGACCCTAACCCCTAAACCCTAAACCCAAACCCTAGACCCTGAACCGTGAACCCTGAACCCTAAAACCTAAACCCTAAACCCTAAACCCTAAACCCTAAAACCTAAGCCCTAAACCCTAAACCCTAAACCCAACCCGAAGCCCTAAGCCAGTGCTCGAGAGTTGAGAGTCTCGCCCGAGGTAGACCCAAAACGGCCGAGGCCTGGAAAAATCCGTCCTCCCCTTGGCGACTCTTCCGGGCACCTCTTCGGGTTTAGGGTTTAGGGTTTAGGGTTTAGGGTTTAGGGTTTAGGGTTTAGGGTTTAGGTTTAGGGTTTAGGGTTTAGGGTTTAGGGTTTAGGGTTTAGGGTTTAGGGTTTAGGGTTTAGGGTTTAGGGTTTCGGGTTTAGGGTTTTAGGGCCCCAACCCCTCAACCCTGAACCTATAAGGAACCTGACACCAGGAACTTGTTGGAGGGCTTCTTGGACGTCTCCACCGAGAGCTATCGAGTCTAGAAGAACCGTTTCTTTTGCAAGTACAGAAGTTGTGAGGCCCCCTACACTTCCAGCCAGCAGTTCGAGTCTCGAGGTGTCGGAACTAGAGGTTCAAAAATGATTATCCCTTAAGCTTTTCCCCAGATTTACATTGGTGTACAGGAATCACACAGTTTTCAGGATTCAAGACTGAGCACGCACAGGCTTCAGGATGAAGGATAGATGATTCTACAAGAGGTTCCCTTTTTTGCATCATGCTGCATGACGTCTCGACCCAATCTGCCTTTGGCTCGGCTTCGCGAGTATGGGGTTTTGGGAACTGCGGTTTCTGGGCTGAGCTTTAGTCCGGCATGGCGACGGACAAGAGGCAATCGCTTCAAAAAGCGCACAACCCGAACTGGCACTTCTGTGCAGGATCTCGGGCCGAGACCACTAAGTCCAGCCCTAAATCCTGAAACTGCAAACTACAAGCCTGAAGTTCGAACCCCGCCCCCAAAACTCAAAACACCCTGCACGGGCCATATTCCACAAACTCCAAACCCCGTGGCCCTGCAGACAAAGACCCTCTGCAGTAGCTCGACGAACCTGAAACTTGAAACACCCCACACTACCCATCTACGCACACCAGGTAGAAGCGTGCAAGATCCGCATGTGCAAAACCCCAAAGGTTGAACTTCTGAACCGAACACCTTCGGAACTCCTGACTTCAGCCTGCCCTCTAAGCGCCTGTAGTCGATGAAAGTCTTTCTGACCGGCATCTGGCCACGGGATCTCTCTGAGTCCACAAGAGGAAACAAGGAAGAAAACAGAGACCTCGAAGGTGGGCTTCCATGCTGCCCGAACACGGGAACACCCCGAAAGTCCAAAACTGCGCATGATGCCATCGACACGTCCGAGAACAGCAGTCACAGTATTCTGGCACGACAGGCATCCTGAAAATGAAACCACGGATCCACCTCATCATGGCACCATTCTGGCAAGGGCAGCTTCAGAGCCTGAGCTAAGGTTGTTCTTCTGGGGTTGGAAACAACGTGCATGCTGCTGGGCGGATGGAGGGAATGTCTGGAGAGTGCGGAAAATTCTATCGGATTCTAGAAGTACACCTGCCCTAGACATCCCTAAACCGCGCAACTCCAGACTTGCAACACATGCCCAAAGACCCCAAATCGATCAAGCCTGAGAAATTAAGGGGGAAAGCATGCAGGGCCCAATGCACCTTGCAACCTGCACTCATCCTATACTTAGTGTTGGTTAGCAGGGAATGAGGGAATTAGGGCCCTATATATGCCCTTTAAGGGATTATATAGGGTACCTCATTCCGCCATTCCCTGTTAACCAACAGTAAGTATGAACTCCTACAAAGCAGTCGGCAGCCTCGAGATTTAGCGGTCTCGGTCTTGGTTTTTCTCGGGTACTGCCTGCAAGCAGAACAGGATCCACCCTCAAACCCAAAGTCTACTGGCATTTTTAGGGTTTAGGGTTTCGGGTTTAGGGTTTAGGGTTTAGGCCCCAGGCCTTGGGAGTCAAGACCATGCTCTTCGTGTTACGGTTTTCGAGTGCTGGGTGGGGAGGTTGTTTTTGAGGCCTGGGGACGCACGGCTCAGGCAAATCCAAAGGCCACCACGTCGTGTTTGCCGCTCGAGCAACGAGTGCCAGAGGCAACACAATAACAAACCCAACTGCACCAGCGTGTGCACAACAAGGAAGCCTAAAAAAAAAACAAGTAACACCAGAGCCCTTGTTCGAGGCGAACAGACAAGAAGCCTCACGGAACTTTCAAACCGAAGCTTCAAGCCCACAGAAGGATGGTCTCCCAAAGGCAAATCTTCGAAACCATACATCCACAAAAGAACTCTCCCCGAAACTCCTCATAACCAACGTACACAAACCGCACAAACGGCAAATCTCCACAGCAACCAAACATGCCCGAAGCTCCACGACCCAAAAACCACCAAAAGAACTTCTTCCATACATTCCCGATTCCCAATCCAACCATCATGCAAACCTCTCAACCACCAAGCTCTCAAACACAGCGAGCCGCGCACGCAGAACCTAATCCACGAACCAACACACTGCATCCAAAAACCAAAACCGCCAGATTCGACGCCCGAGAAGACCTCAAAAAACATCCCAACCAAATATTTGCAAGAACTCCATGAATTCAAAATCTGAAACCTTCTCAAGCTCTCCGGAAACAAGCAAAAAGCATGCACGCAACAAAACTGCAGAAGCTACGCCGAAGCGAGTCAGCAGCGAGCAGCAGCACAGCACCCGGGACAGAAAGGGATAGGGTTTAGGGTTTAGGGTTTAGGGTTTAGGGTTTAGGGTTTAGGGTTTAGGGTTTAGGGTTTAGGGTTTAGGGTTTAGGGTTTAGGGTTTTAGTGTTTAGGGTTTAGGGTTTAGGGTTTAGGGTTTAGGGTTTAGGGTTTAGGGTTTAGGGTTTAGGGTTTAGGGTTTAGGGTTTAGGGTTTAGGGTTTAGGGTTTAGGGTTTAGGGTTACTGGAGTCCCCCCTCAACAAGCAGGCGAGGTCTCAGGCAAGCAGTGCCAGAATGCAATCTCACTGACAAGCAACCCTAGATCTGCGCAAAGCAAGGGCCCTAAACTAGACGCCCAATCTGGAAAGGTTTTCGGATTAGATATTCAAATATATCATACTACATTGTAGAACAGTATATATAGTAATTAATCATAATATATATATAATATAATATAATATATATATATATATACATACATACATACATACACTATATTTGGCTTTTGTAAACCCAAACTCCAACTCATCCGCGCAGGAGCCCCCTCTGCCTTTGCCAGCGGGGGCCATGGCTGCTGGGCCCTGGCCTTCGGTCTTGGGCGCTGGGCACATCACCCTAAAACCCTAAACCCTAAACCCTAAACCCTAAACCCTAAACCCGTAATTCTTCTCACGGATGTGGGTTGCGGTCCACATCTCAGAACAAAGGGCAGCGTGACCTCATTCATAGACTCGGCCTGGGCTATCTACTCAAGACGAAACAACGCATCCTAAAGCCCCAAAGCCCTATAAGCCTTCCGGCATCTGCACACTTTTGAGGCTGGTCCTAGTCCTGCCAAGACCCCGTGGCTCCAGACGGACATGTCAGAACTGAGTCAGAACCCTGCACCTAACCACCATAAACATCCTAAACATCCCAAGCCCCCAACACATTTCAACACTCAAGTTCACTCAAATTCGACTCGCGCAGACTGCGTCTTCCAGCAGAGGCGTTTAAACGGAGGCAACTAAGACTTCGAAGTCCAAATAAGCAACTACAAACATCTTGGTGTAGAGGCCAGGCCCTCCAGGCTCTAGGCTGAAGACTAACCCCAAACTCTTTCCCAGCTACGAATTGTTAGCGACGAGCGGTTGCAACAGGACGGCAGCACCGCAAAGCTCACCGCTTGACCCCAACACTTGTCCTCAAGCGGGGTCGAGGTTAAACCGCTTCAGACCGCTGGGGCATTTTTGGCGGGACTTATGGCTTACAGTAGTGAAGCGGGGTAAGTGCTTATGATGTTGGAGTGCACTGTTTCAGGGGTTCTTCCTCAACAAATGGGGCCTTCAATCTGAACCCTAAACCCTAAACCCTAAACGCCAAACGCTATGAGCATCTAGGGCGCCCAACTGTCTCTAGGGGCACTTGGGGCCGAAGGCTTCGGCTGCTAGGCGCAGGTTGCAGGTTGACGTCTTAGTCTTCGGGTTTGAAGGGTTTAGGGGGATTTTGTCTTGAGGGTTTAGGGTTTAGGGTTTAGGGTTTAGGGTTTCGGGTTTAGGGTTTAGGGCTTAGGGCTTAGGGCTTGGGGCTTGGGGCTTGGGGCTTGGGGCTTACTTGGATGGGTCCAGAAACAAGTGCGTCCTATACTCCTGATTACCACGAAACGGGACTCCCGTGTATCTACATCATCCTAATCAACGAAGGCTGAACACCTGAGCAGCTGTAGACACTCTTGGGTTTGAGATATATATCCATTGCGCCTGCTAGCCTGAGCTTTCCCCTGCGTGCCGAGTTTGAATCTGGGCAACCACATGCCCTCAGCCCTTGAACCCCAAACCTTGGACCCCGAAAATAGTCCCCAAATAGGAGGGTTCCCTTATAATGACGACCCCAATAAGTACCCTTAATTTCGGGAAACTCTAAAATGCCAAGACGCTGTGAGTGCCCCAGCACCACTGAGGTCAAGCTGCACGCGTATGCAGTAGCGTCGCGTGAGAAAATCGGCGTCCCTTTGTCTCCACGACTTGAGAGGCAGACGGCCGCATGAGGCACCAAGAGCCCAGGACCTCAAACTTAGTCGCTTTGAGGTTGCGGGTTGCCGGAAACACAAAAGCAAGAACTATGAGGGGAAAAAGCAGCTCGTGAAGACTTCCAGCATGCGCCAAAAAGCAACGCAACGCAAAGTAACGCAATGAATTACAAGGTCGTTTGACCTGAGACTTGGGTTTTGCGACTCAATGTCTCGAGCTTTGGGTGGCTGACAAGTTCGAATTATGAGTCCACGGGCACCGCCGTACCACTGCGCCCTGCATCTTGGCACACATGTGCCAACCAAAACAAGCAAGCCCGAAACGAGCACGCAACGCACATGCTTCGCAGGTTCCCGCAAACCATGGCATGGCAGACGCAGCAAGCGCTCAAAATGTCGTGTTTCGTGACACCGAACATGCGACACAGATTTGCATCATGCATTCTAGAGCGGTCGTCCCGCAAATGGCCGGTGTCTTTGAGCACGGGGAAGTCGACAACTTGATTCATTGTTCGTCTGCTATCTTACGGCTGTTGCCATCCATGGGCATGGTGTCACCTCGAGTGGGTTTCGCAAGTCATGCTGGTGTGACCACGGAGCTCAGCACTACCACTCCTTTCATTGTGACATCGACATTACATGTCAGCTAGCCCGAGCACACAAGGCGAAAGTATTCCAATTGGGGAATTCCTCCTTCGTTGTTCCGTCAGTAATGTGCCAGCGTGAAGGTGAAGCAGAAAATTGGTGGCAATTCCGAGGTCATCGTGCTATTTCTCATTATCGTTGTCATGATCTTGGCCGTGTCTTTGCCCAGAAACGCGATCGGAGGTGGTTTCTGCGGGCGCGAGCGGGAATCTTATGAAGCTAGATGGGGCGATTCCTCCTCTCAATAAGAGCTCCGATATCCCCAACGCCGAGCAGCTGCAGACAACAAGGCTTTCTTGCACAAGGCGAACTGATCGAACGCGTTGGTCTGCTCAACAAGTTGACACGGAACCCTTGCTGTGGCGCAATGGAAAGAGGCACTTTCGACAAAGCACTCTTGTTTTCCTCGGAGCCTGCTGCTTCACAGGCTACCCTGAGGCGGTGGAGGCGCAGAATTCTTCGAGAGCGGCCCCTTCTGTCTTACCACAACTTGCAACTTGGTGATATGGCGCGATCTACTCCTGGGAATTCCAGAAACATGTCGCAACACACTTTTAATCAAGTTCAGAGGAAAACTTTTGACAGGCCTGAGCTCTCGAATGTCACGTCTACACCTTTGAACCGCAAGCAGAGTGTCATTCTTGAAGAATTCCGCGTGTAGTCTTTCAGTCAAGCACGCCGAAGCTGCTCGGCGCAGTATCCTTCAGCCGCCTCGGTGAGTGCACAGGTTTCAAAAGGCGCCGCCTTTTCGGGGGGGGGGGGGGGGGGCTCTCTCTTCGGAGGTTACCAACTAATACAGGTCCTCCTGTTATGTGGACAACCTCCACACTCACTTTCATGTGCGTGATGTTGTAGCGACAGGCTTGACAATGATTCAGTATTCCGCTGGTCTCTTCTTCATATGCCTTGCAAACACTATCTCTGGCAAAGTCCCCTTGGCAGGTGGCTTTGGGAATTTGGGCTCTGAGGTGTGATCAGTGCCTAGGGTTCGATTGGGCACCACAGTGTCACGTGCTGCAGCCAATTCAGGCGTCATGGACCATTCCCCCCCGCCCCCTGACCTTGCTCTTCAAACCCTAAGCCCTAAACCTTGTAATTAAATCCTAAACCCTAAACACGTGACAATGGTCTCCAGCATATTGCTTGGGAGCACCCTCGAATGATCCTCGGGCGACGGCTCGTCTGCCTCAGCCTGTGCTTCGCGCGCCTTCCTCAGGCGCTGCCTCTCCTGGCGTAACATCTCGCAGCCAAAGGCAACTTGGGATGTCTGGCTGGGCCCGATCACCCATTGAGTGGCGCGGGCTCAGGGCTAGCAAGGCGTTTCTCTCCGCGTCCGCGGAGGGGTCCAGGGTTCACAATGTGGGTGCAGATGATCTCCTAGAAGCCCAGCTTGACTGGCGCAACACATGAACCAGCCAGACCCCACAAAAGCTTCCAAAACCCACCCTGCCGAGGCCCTCTAGCAAGGATATCCTGGAGCCGTAGCTTCGGACTCCATTTGGCATCACAGGTTGGGACTTTTATTCTTATGGCTTTCTGCAAAGACTCTCAGGGGCTCCTGAATTGCCTATCCCCAGCAGTACTGGGGGTCATCCCCAAGCCTTTTACGAATTCGGTTTAGGGTTTAGGGTTTAGGGTTTAGGGTTTAGGGTTTAGGGTTTAGGGTTTAGGGTTTAGGGTTTAGGGTTTAGGGTTTAGGGTTTAGGGTTTAGGGTTTAGGGTTTAGGGTTTAGGGTTTATGTTTTAGGGTTTAGGGTTTAGGGTTTAGGGTTTAGGGTTTAGGGTTTAGGGTTTAGGGTTTAGGGTTTAGGGTTTAGGGTTTAGGGTTTAGGGTTTAGGAGCCCCTGAGGCTCTGAGCTTAAAACCTGAGGATGCACGGCCTACAGTATGACGATGGCCGCGCCGGCAAAGGAAACGCGCTGGCGCTGATCCTAGCTGCTCATGCGATTTGGGCCTCCACCATGCGCTGGTCGACGATGCGGCTCTGTGCCAGGGCCTGCCACGTTTGGGGTTTCACTGCTTCTCGGGCCGCCAAGAAGGAACTTGTCTTCAAGGTCTGCGGGTTTGAGCTTCAGCAGTTAGTACGCTGTCTCACAAGGTCCATAGCAAACCTATAAACATTGGCGACCAAGGATGCTTTGCTTGCCTGGAATTGGAAGCGAAGCATCGTTAAAGCCCTGTGTATGCGCTGCAGTGCAGGTGCAGTGTAGATCAGAGGCTAGGTTCGTATGGCCCGGACATGCAATGACATGAACGACCATCAAGGTTGTCCGTGCTGATCTCGTGGTCCTACCTCGACTAAGTACAACCCAACCTAACCCTTCATGATCCCAAACATTGCTAGACTCGCTGCCTCCTCGCGTGACATTTTGGGCTTTGCGCTGCGCTTTCTCGCGGAGAATGCGAAGAGCTTGGAAAAGGGCCGGTAGATCTCCTGCGTTGCCGGAAGTTGTGCGGCCACAGGTGGAAGGACTGGGTGCCGACGGGTGTCGAATGGTTTCGAGTTGATGCTGAAGTTTTAGGCTTCAGGGTTCAACCGCCTCTTCTGGTGGACTGTGGTCTGGAGAACCCCTGCAAGGCACCAGCAACTCGGAGGATGTGGGGGGGCCGGGGGGGGGGGGGGGGAGGTTTAACGAGTTGTTCGCTCGGGGTTCATAAGGCCAGGGATTACATTGGTCGCAAGGGAATCCGAAAAGCAACCCCCGACACCAGAAGGTGGAACATTGCATGTGCTCTCTGACAAGCTCCCGCTACAGTGCAGAACTCTAGATCAAGCACCGCATGGTGTCCTGGAACAGAATTAGTGTGCAGGGTTTAGGGCTTAGGGTGTAGGACAGTGTAGGGTTTAGGGTGTGCCAAGATATTGAGCAGGCAGGCTCCGTTTACATGCGAGATGCTGCCATCTGAAGCAGTCGTATGTCGGCTGGAGACTTGGTATCCCGAATGGGATTTCTGTGGCCACCTCTCTCACAAGAGGCAACACCTCTAAATCTCCTTTTGGCAGCTTCAGATTTCACTCCCGCCTTTCGTCCCATGGAGTGCTGCGGGCTGTGACCAGAGCCGCTTAGTAGGCACCGCCCACCATGGCCCTCCTGCCCTGACCCAGGTGGTTCGGGTTCGCATTTTGCTGGGTGTGGCAGTTTCGGCTTCAAGGTTGTACCATGTCGTACCAGTCTCTTCCAGTCTTCCAACCCTTGAGACTGTCAACCATTGCGCTGCACCGAGACCTGCTCAGAATGTTGTGTCCTTTGTCTCCCGCTCATCCCACAACCGAGTTGATCGGAGTTTCGACATCGCGCTTCTCACCGTTTGTGCGAGTGGTTTGCTGGATGTGTTGACGACTCGCGTCTCGCAGTTTCTGTACCGTACGCACCATCCTGTAACATCTTGACAGCGGGCAGACCAGCGAATCCAATGTTTCGGACTCAATTTCGAAGTCCATTGTTGTGAACCGGCGCACTGCCACCGAATTTTCACGCAGCACGAAAAGACTAGCGGTATCAAACTCCCAACCTCTTTGAAATGCTTTGGCTTCTGTCGCATCAACAAGAAGTCTGCCAACTCCGCAACCTTGATGCTCGAACTGCACCTTTAAGTGCGCGATAAGCAAATCATTCTTCTTCGTGTCAGCATGGCAATAGCCAACCACGTGCCCTGTTGCTTTGTCAACGGCCACCAGAACAATACTCCGAGTGTTCATCGTGCTCGTCACGATTTGCTTCATTACCTTTACGGCAATTCGGTCATCAGCAAAAGCTCCCAGCGCGTCACAGTAATCCTTGACCCTGCAAGCCTGACACCACAATTCGTTCTGGAAAAGATTTGCCTGGTCCACAATCAAGCTCTTCTCAAGCTGCCGCACTTTTCCCAGGCATGCAGCATGAAGATTCGTGACGAAGTGTGTGTCATTTTCCGTAACTGTCTCGTGATCTTTCTGCATCACGACGGGCTCCTCCTCATGGCACTTGGCCCGCTTGCATGACCATGCCTTGAGAGTTTCCGGGCCCTCGGCCCGGCACTCGTCCCGTTTCCGTTTGCCGGAAGCATGTGGCTGCTCCTTCCAATCCTCAACCCGAGATGCTAGCACCTGCAGAACTTCCGGGCTGCAAATGCTGTATGGCGATTGCCTCCGCTTGTTCCTGGCACCCAGCGAGGCACCGCAACGTAGCAAAAAGCTTGCGGTGTCTGCATGGCCTTTCCGGATTGCAACGAACAAGGCCGTCTCCCCTTTCTCATCGGCTTGATGTATATCTGTCTTGAAGGCGTTGACAAAGAAGCGGCATAGCCTTACACACGTTTAGGTGACGACTGCCCCTCGTTTCAGTTCACGAATATTTATAGCTGAAATTGTATTTGAAATTTAGGTTGCCGTGCAAAGAAAAATCTTTGCTTGTATCATATCTAAAGGTCCCGAAGCATTCTCCCAAACGAAGCAAAGATTTGTCGTACAACTAATTAGAGTAGAGAACAACAAGATTCGACCGACTTGAAAGATGACCAGCACAACTTTTGCCAACCAACATCGACTGGACACATGACATGTGTGTGTGTGCGCGTGTGACAGTGTGAGGGCGAGGAGGGAGTTGTTGTCCAGGCCTCAACCCTCCACCCAAAATGTGCAACTTCCTATCGCCGAACATGAGTTCTCAGAAATGAAGTATTTCTCCGGACTTCAGAAGTTCCCCCTTTGATCATCATGCTCAGATACTCTGTGTGGCCCTGACTGGCGGCGTAGAACAATGGGCTCTGCGACCAGTTGTCGCTCTGAGAAGATGGGGCTCTGTGAAGCCGCCTAAGCAAGACGAAACGTCCCTACACCCACAACCCTAAACCCTAAACCCCTTCAGTGAGTTAAGACACCCTAAGGCATCCCAGGGCGCCCTAGGAGATCAAGGGTCCAACAAGTCTAAAGGTCTAATAGGGGTCCTATCAAATTTCGCACCAAACCCCCTAAGGGTCCATGTACCTATATAGCATATACTTGGGCCCTAAAGCTACCATATAGGAAAATAGCTGCAGGGAATAGTCCTATGTTTGCTTGTCTATCTTTTTGACTGCCACTCCGAGCCTGAACAAGTACTGGCACAGCTGCTCGGCCTCTTTGGCATCTTTGCGGGCAGCTGCATAGTACATCGAATTTTGTCCTTCCAGCCTCCATTTCGGATCACAGGTAGCCGCAGCACGCAGGGCCTCGTCCCAGGGCCCGTCACGGATCTGTTGCAGCAAGCGAGGATCACGCAGCTTCTGTGTAAGGACCTGCTTCTGCGCAGGCTTTCGCTTTGGCATGGCCGTTCCAGGCATGGTCGTACAAAAGGGCTCTGCCAATCTACTTCTCTGTGGGCTACTACAGCAAATAGCCAACAACAACGTTTAGGCTAGTGTCACTCTCCCGACCTGAACAACAATACCTGCAAGGCTGTATTGATGCGTTTTGATGTGGCCTGGGCTCTGAGCCTAACATCACCCGGCACATCAAAGCATTTCACCGTGGACCTTCCCAGACGCAGCTCGCTGACTCTACATGCTTTGTATGCGCTGTGTGTGTGTGTGTGTCTTTTACGTCACGCCTGGTATCCAAGAGATAGAGATAGCTGCAAGCCAATGAACGCGTGTGTCTGTAGACGTGACTTCAGTGTCTAGGCTTCGCGGGCGGTGCACGACGCATGAGAGCTTCATCGTGCTTCATCGGCTCATCGTTCGAGGCCTCACCCCTAAACCCTAAACCCTGAACCCTAAACTCTAAACCCTAAACCCTAAACCCTAAACCCTAAACCCTAAACCCTAAACCCTAAACCCCACCCTAAGATCGCCTTCTCCACGACCTCAAAATCAAGGTGGGGTAGTTGTAGTGCGGCCTGGGGCACCTCGGCACACCGCAGGCTGTTCTGGACCTTCAAACATTAGGACCCATAAGAAGTAAAAAAAAACACACATGACAAGAAATAAATCAATGAGTAAATAAATAGAACAAATAACAACTAAATAAATAAATATGGCTTCGGAACTGCCCTTGCTGGGGCCCAAGGACGCGAGAGCTGAGGCTTCAGGTGGGTTCAGGGTCTTGGGTTTCCGACAAGGATTTGGGCCACCTCGAGGCTGCTTTGCGCAGCATTTTAGGGGGGGGGGGGGGGTTTGGGAGAGACACCCAGCAAAGTCAGCTTTCAGAGAGCATCCCGAAGTCCTCACAGGCCGAAGTCCTGCATCCCAGGCCCGAGAGCTGGTACAACCCCAACCCTGAACTCCTTTAGCTCATTGTGATCCCAAGTCTTTGGAATTAACTCCATGGCCAGGGTGCATCAACGACGGAGCTAAACACCAGGAAGGTGCCGCCCTGGGAGACGGACCAGTTCTTCGGTGTAAGTTCCAGTTTTTGGGTTTGGGGGCTTCCGCTTCTACTTAGGGGCTGAATACCCTAGCCCGAAAAAGGTTCACCTGTTTATTTGTAATAGGATTATGTGTGTGTATATATGCCAGCCCCTAAGTCTAGGAGGATGTAGAGTTACATGGCCCTGCGTCGCAGAATCGATGCATGCAGCTCTGCTCTACAGGCCCCCCAGACCCCCTGTCAAGCCCGTCTCGCAACCCGAAGACTGGCGCAGAAGGTCCAAGCAGAATTAGGGAGTTTGGGGTTCGGGGGCGAAGAGCACTCCGAACTGAGCCCCTACCTGTCAAACCGTGAAACCTGAGTTTGAAGACTGCGGTACACTGCAGCGAAGGCTTGGGGTGTCACGTACCAGTAGGGTCTAGAGCGTCTGCGTGTTGGAAAGCGGGTCTTAGCGATGAAAACCAAAACGCCCGCAACACTCTTCAACTTCTCATGTCACACCTCTTCATTCAGATCCCAACGAAAGCTAGTGCTGAAACCGAAGGTCTCACCGAACAGAAGCAAAAAGCTCTTCAATGCCCAAACCCTCTGAATGGCCCTCGCAAGAGGAACTTGATTGCAAGCGCGCAGCTGGCTTCAGCACCCGGAAGACCTCGCCGTACATCCGAGTCCTCGGAGACTCGGGGGGGGAGTTCGAGGCTTCAGTTGACTGCTTGGGGCACTCAGGGAAATAGACCCCGCAGCAGCCCCGGCAACCCTTTTGGCGGTGTAGAATATAAGCTTCAGGGGTGGAGTCCACATGAGTCCTAGATGGCTTCGGTGAGGCTTCAGAGTTTTCCGGGTTGAGGGTTTCGAAAGGAGCTTGGCAACAGGATGGGGTTTAGGCTCTGCGCCTTACGGGTGATTGCAGGCTTGAGGCTGCAGATGCTGTTTCGGGGTCTCCGACACCCCCTAAGAACTTGGTGAGGGCTGGCAAGGAGCCTCAAGCCCCCAAGCGCCTCCCTCTAAGGGCCTTGGGGTCTCTCGGTGTCGGAGCAGTACCGACATGTCTGACAAGCTCTGGGGCTGCCGCATATTTTCATGAATGTGATCCGCGTCACAGGACACAGCATCCGTCCTCGGCCACTCTTGATTCGGGCGTGTGCGAATTTAGTGTTTGAAGGCGCTTTCGGTTGCAAGACCTACTCCAAAAGCGCCTTCTCATCCCCGAACCCGAACCGAACCAGCTGTAAGCTTGGAGAGCTCTACTGGGGGGACATCTTTTGGTTGGCCTGGCTACCGAGGCTCGAAGCCTACAGCTCGAAGGCAAAAGCATGTCAAGCCAGTGCTTTGTGGCGGGCCCTCATCAAACCATGGAAAGCTGTGGATTTGGGCCACGCATCAACATAGAGCAGAGTTGTTACATCAGCCATCAGAACAAAACGCAAGACCAGACTCCGAAAACCGCCAAGTCCCACAGAC